TTAACAGATACATAGCATCATGCTGTGTCAAAGTAACAAACTGACTTGTTATTTGATATTAATACTATTTTTAGACTTGTTCAACATTCATCATATATGTGTTTTCTCCAGGTGTTTGACTGGTATAAACATGGTGATTTGGGGGAGAGGGGCAGATTAAAAGGAGCCATGCATTTTCATTGTGTTTTTTTTTCCATGCAGACCACAAATAGAAGGTACATGCAGAAAGAAGATGATTGCAATGAGACTCAGTGCCATTTAAGTATTCCAGTGTCCTCACTGAATTCTACGTACTGTATTGCAGCAGAAGGAATCTCAGACACATGGTCTGTGACAACTGAAAAATCCAGAGAACTTTGTATCACCATTTTCGACCATAAGAGCAAAGAAAGTAAGTTCATACTATTTTCCCCTAAATATAAGAAGTGATAACTAACATAGGTTAATGTGAAAAGAGACAGTTTGCAATTTCAGTAACTCTCTGCTCTTTTAAGAATAAGTCCACTTCTCAGGCATAAAAAGATACAAAACAACCAATTTGGGAAGCCATGACACAGGAAAGAAAGAAGTATAATAAACACGTTAAGTATAAAATTATGTGCATAAACGTCTGCATTTCAGGATTATGCACAGCAATCTAAGTCAATTTATTACTTTAATATAGCAAGATGTTATATATTCATTAAGATGTTTATAATGTGAACTGGATAGCCCTAGAAATTAATATTCAAAAATAAATATAGGTTAATTTAAATAATGGATTATGGGATACAACATTTTAAAATAATTTTTGTTTCATCTTTTCATTGTGTGTGGGGGATATATATATAATAGAACTTTAGAACTGGCATTCTCAAGTGTCAGGTATGGTAACAAAAATTTGGGCCTTTGAAGTTTTGAAAGTTAAATGTTCATTATTTAAATAATTTAAAAAATATAAAAAGCCAGAAGAAAATAAAATTATCTGTAGTTCTACCATCCAAACAAATTCTTGGTTACTCACAATTCGGTGGGTTTTTTCCCCCATCCTGTTTTTCTCTTTTTCTAATAACCATGACCATATTGTATAGTATATATAATTTTCTATACTGCATATATTATAAATATTTAAGCATATATTATAAATGTTTTCCATATTTCACATAATTTATCAATATTATTTTTAATATATGTAGAATATTTCATCATGTAGAATGTATTATATTTAATGTTCCCCAATTTTTGGACTTTTAGATTATTTATAGATTTTCTCTATGATAAATCATGCTTTGATGACTGTCTTTGTGTGTGTGTGTTTATATACACACACACACACACACACATATATATATATATAAACACACACATATATTTTTTCAATTGTTAGGATGTTTTTAGAATATATTTCCTAGGTTAAAAATGTGCAATAATTTTATCATACAAATATCTTTTTGAAGAATGGAAATTAGACTGAAGAATCAAACCAAACACTTAAAATTTAATACTAATATTTTTTAGGCCATTATACTAGAGTTTCAAATAGATGACTTAAAATAATGCAGTGCATTTTATTCCAATTTCCTTTATGCCATTCGAAAAATAAAATCTTACTTACAAAATTTAAAAATAATGCCAATACCCCAAATTTAATTTAAAACAACACCCCGAATTATAAACTGGACGGATATTGTGGCCACATGGTGGCAGCACAGTGGTTCCTAGCAGCCTTCCCATCTGCCTGATGAGTGCTCCTAATCCAGTGCTGGCCTAGTTCAGTTATGTAGTTATTTTTATCTTTTACTATTATAATTTGTTTTCACATCCTGTAATAGGTGTGATACAAGCATTCATTTAGTAGTAACTTCCAGAATTACTATTCCAAAGAAGTAACTGGAATAGAGATTAAAGGTAATGAAATGGCATGAAGGAAGCCAAACACCACCATAACATACAGAGTACTGTTGATTTGGAAGAGAGGACTGTGAAAAAGAATACTGAAGATTGTGCTGTGAAAATAAAAACAGCATTAGAAAAAATGCACAACAGCGATTATAGATGTATAATCTCTATTTTATATTCTTTCTATCTGGTTTGGGACTTTATTCCTGTGCAACTTCTCCTCTATATCTGTGTGCATATGTGTACATCTGTATATCTTTATAAGTATTTGTATTCTTGAAATATAAAATGTAACAAAATTCTGAGGAGTGAGACTAAACTTATTCTACGAGTTCTGGACATTACCAGAATTTATTTCTAATGAGCTATATTTTTTAAATTCTTCTTTTCCCTCTTTAAATGAGAGAAAAAGCAGAACTCTTGAAACACCTTATATTTGGGGCCGTAAGGAAATTGTTGTGAAAAAGCTATTTTAAACATATTGTGTCATGAAAGTATAGTTGCAGAAAGTTTAGAATTGTGGAATTGCAAAGAGTCATGTTGCTATCTAGGACAGGGACCTAATTTTTTGCTCATCTCTCCTGAGTTCTGTGTCAGTGTTCCTTAACACCATTTCCTTATTAATTACCTGATGTGTAAATCTATTAAAGAATAGCTCTAAGACTTTATAACTAATTGATGGATATAGCAGTATTTCATCTTAATTCTAATTTGTGATTTTTTCCCCTTTTTTTAGATTCATTTTGGATTCCAATTGTTGCTGCTTTCCTAGTCTTTGTAGTAGTTATCCTTCTAGTTGTATGTTTTCATATTAAGAAGATACATCCATGTAAGAAAGAAAGCATTATGTTACCCAAGTCCTTGGTAATGTATTTAAATATTTTTCTTTAATTATATATACTAAAATGTTAATTTGGACCTTTTGGATAGTTTCTTAAAAATCTTTTTAAAAGTAGAATGATATTCAGCAATATGTCACCTACCATAAATCACTCAATCTACCACACATCCAAAACCATATATTTTTCACTACGCACTAGGTACTTTTTGATGCATGTGGCAAAAATTAGACGAGTCTGTTAAAGAACTTAAAGTCTAGTGGGAAAAAAGGATGAGTATTCAGTGGATGTACGGGTGTACGATGGGATAGGTTCAAAAACAGAGATTTATATACATGTGAGTGAAGACTTTGTTGACTTTTTTGGAGTGGGGGTTAATCGTGACTTTTCCAGAGGCAGTGATGCCTGAGCAGTCTTGAGGGACAAATAGGAGTTTATTCAGGTACTAAGAGACAGTATGCGCTAAGGCCCAGCATCAGGAAAGCCTGGGTTTGAAAAACTGCAAGTATAAAAACACTTCATTATGATTGGAGTGTAGTAGGAAAGATGACCAAAAGTGAGACTAAACTAGAAGTTTGACATTTTAACGTCTATATTTAAAAGTCTTTGTATGGTGAAAAGAATAGTTAAAGGCTAATAGAACGGTAACTTTTTGAATCAAATACGGCAGGAGTAATATCTGATATGCAAAGGGCACATTTAAATTTATTATGAATCTGCTACATTTCAGTCAAGTAAATAAGAATTATCAACAAAGGACAATTCACGTATGAATTATAATACTCATCCTTATTAGTAATTAAGCAGAAAGCAAGTTCGTATTATGCCATTTTACACCCACTAGAGAAGGAAAAATAAACCTGAATATTCAGGAGTACCGGTAGTAGTAGAACTGGTATAGACTAGTAAAAAGCCTTACAGCCCTGGTGGGAAGGTAAGCATACAATGGATATACAGTGTCATAGTTCCATAAACATGCCACACCTTCGGACTTAGTAATTCTACCCTTCAGAATTTATTCTAAAGTAATTTCATGAGTAAAAAGATCTGTAAGAATGTTTATTTCAGCATGTTCTGTAAATAGTAAAAATAGAAACACTTTAACATCTACTGTTAGAGAAATTATTTAATCATCAGTGTAAAAAATTATATGAGCCCATGAAAATTATAATGAAAACGATAATTATGAAGGCATATGGTAAAAATATAAGTAGCTGTACTCCCATTATAAGTGTAACGTGCATACATGTGAAAGGCAATTCACAAAAAGCAGCATATATTAGTGAGATAGTAACTTTTTAAAAATCCTTGTTTTTAATCTTAACATAGTATACTTTCATTTGAAAGAAAGAAAAGGCAACCACCAGATTTTATTATGCTATTATCCTAAATATGCCATTTAGTGGTGAATTTCATTGTCCATTATTCTTAGACTGTTTTTGTTTTTGTTTTTGAGGATAGGCAAATTTAGTAATTTATTATTTTTAACCATTGATTTCTCTTCCCTTAGCTGTCTGTGGTAAAAAATGCCTCTTTCGAGGCAAAATCTGAATCAAAATATATATCGCCCATCACCTACGAACCCATTGTTCCTGAACATGAGAAGGTGGAAGAGCAGTTGTCTCCAGCAACAATTTCAAGTTCACATATCAAGGACGATCCGGCAAAAGTAGAGCACAGAGAAGATTTTTCTAGTGAAACAGAAGTGGTGACCATCGAAGAGAATACCCCCGACACGGCTCCTGGTAGCCCTCTGACCCCAGTAAAGAGAGACGATTCCGTCCATTCAAGTAGCAACCAGTCTGAACCCTGCAGCGTCGCTTTAAACTCTTATCACTCCAGAAGTGGTTCTGATAGTGGCGTTGCAGAATCGGACACTTTCTTATCTGACTCAGAATTTCCTCCAAATAGTAAAACTGAAGTAAAGACAGGAAGACAGGAGTCCACAATGCTCAGAAACACTACCACCTCCTTTGGTTACGATAAACCACACGTGTTAGTGGATCTGCTTGTAGACGAAGGTGGTAAAGAGTCCTTGATTGGTTATAGAGTCACAGCAGATTCCAAAGAGTTTTCATAAGATCAGCCAGCATGTGCCAATGTGGAAGGATCTCCTTGTCCTGAACAGTTTTTCTGCTTTGATTTCATGAAAAGATCATAATTTCAGATGTTGTACCTTTATGGATAGTAATCAAATGAAGGACCTTGATTTAGATAAAAGTGCTAGCTTGGCACTGTCACATGTGGTCTGAAAACCTCAAAGACTTTTTTGAAAAATGAACTTGTCAACATCTGAACCTTTCCATATAGATAGGTTAGCAGTAATAGTGAACACTCTCTAATAACCCTGCTTCCAATGATAGTAGATGACGCCCAGGGTCCTTTCTAACCATATCAAGAAATATAATGGATTTGTTTTCTTCTCTGTGCTTCTATATGTTTTTTGTTTTTTGGAATTTTTTTTTTTTTTTTTTTTTTTTTTTGGTAAATTTAGAGTATTTTTAAGTGCTTACTTTCAGAAGAAATTCTGAAATCTTTTCAAGTTGAATTTAAAATCAAATTCAAACTAATAGAATTAATAAAAAATATGTAAATAGAAACATGTATATATTTTTTATGAAACATTGCATTAAGAGATTTTTAAATAAAGAATTTTAAAAATTAATTTTGTATTCATTTATTCAAGCAGTTAACTAGAATATTTTTCATCCATTTGCTATAGAATCATTTTCTAATTATTCATATCTAGTTTTTAAAACAGTTCTAAAAGTAATCTAATCTTTAAAAATGGTCCTTTTATGTCTATATTTCAATATTTAGCACCCAGTGTGTAGAGAAAAGAGCAAATTTATCCAGAGTGTGTGGACCGAGGAGTCTCTAGCCTAAGAGTGGTGCTCAGAGCCACAGGAGGGGGTGAGGGGACCCTGAGAAGCATATGGTAGGAGAGAGAATCCCCAATGAGAGGCAAACCCACAGTTAATATCTACATCACACAAGGAGTTCTTGGGAATTACTAAGAGGATAGAAAATTTAAGGTTCAAATTAATTGAGAAAAAAAATTAAATATCAGATGAGTAAATTAACAAACCATGGAAAAATATTGCTCCTCATTTAACTGCAAATTAAAATGAGGTGCTATTCTATTAGTGGGGAAGAAATTATCAAATACTGGTGAGGTTTCGGTGAAACTAGTATATTCACTTATTTGGAGGGCAATGTCTTACGAATTGCTTTTTTAACTGATGTACTGATACATATCACATTCCATAAAAATACACATCCTTTACAGAATTTAATCTTTTGTGGAAAAATTATTAAAAAATCCTTAAAACCAATGAAAAATGCACACATTAGAATGGGAAAAAAGCAAAAATGTGAAATTAATTGAAGCCAAATTACTGCTCTCTAAAAGGATTGTACTTAGGTATACTGCCAAATGTGAATGGAGTCCCTGCTTTTTTACACTAGCTGATTCTTACGAATACCAGTCTTTTTAATCTCTTCCAGTCTTACAGATAAACCATTTTAATCCTTTCATATTTCTTTAATAATTAATAAAGCTGAGCGTATTTTATATATTAGGTATTTTCTGTGATTTGACTAATCTTGTCCTTTGCCGTTTATATCTTATTTGACTGCATCTTTTGTCATAATTTCTTGCCTATGACTAAGCTCTTACCACATAGTTTAAAATGGTTATAAAGTCAAATTTATTCATCTTTTCCTTTCATTCTTAACCCTTTCCCAAGAAAATACAAAATTTCATCCATGTTTTTTTCTGTTTGTTTCATTTTTACATTAATTCTTTTATTCGCCTAGATTTTTTTCACATAAGGAGTGAGATAGGGATCCAGCTTTATTACATTGATTTCCAAGCTGCCAAATATTACCACAAACTTGGGTGGCTAAAAACAACAAAAGTTTATTCTCTCACAGTTCAAAATCAGGGCCAGATTCTGTTTGAAGGCTGTAAGTGAGGATCCTTCTTTGCCTCTTCCTAGCTTCTGGTGGTTGCTGGCAGTCCTTGGTCTTCCTTGACTTGTAGCTGCATCATTCCAATCTCTGTCTCTTTTAACACATAGCATTCTTCCCTGTATGTCTCTGTGTCCAAATCTCTCTCTGTAAAGACACTAGTCATTGGATTAGGGCCCCGTATGACCTCATCATTTGATCAAATCTGCAAAGACACTATTTCCAAATAGGAACACGTTTATCGGTACCAGGGGTTAGGACCCCAACATTCTTAGAGGACACAATTCAACTCAAATTTCACGTGATAAATGAGTTGTCTCAATACTATTAAATCATCCCACTTTTCTGTGCTGATTTCAAATGTCACATCATATGCTAAATTCTCAGTACTCCTGGGACTTTCATTGTTCTATCTTTTCTTGTGTCTGTATCACACTTTTAATTATTATAGCTTTATACTGCTACATAGTTTAACTTTTGAGGCTCTCTATTTCCCTAGAGCAATATACCTACTTAATTGGTCATAAGCTGGTGACTGGAGGTAACTCAGCCTCATGGGAGTCAGATTAAACTACTTTTTGGCTCTAAGAGTCAATGTTTCAACTTAACTACTAAGGGGATCCTCTTCCTGACACAGTTCTGCTTCTTAAATTTTTTTCCTAAATTATTACTTGTTATCAAAATTAGTGTTAATTGCATCATCATTTCATGCATGTTCGGTGGTAGGGAGAGCTTACAGAATGTTTTCTGGGATGCTTAAGCTGTGATAAAAGACTGTAAAAGTAGAAACATTTTAGTGATAGTTAAAAATCTAAAGGGGAGTGGGAGGAATTAAGTGCTTAGAGGAAGATAAATCCAGAGATAGATATTGATGATTCTGCCAACAATGAGATGGAAGAAGGATAGCAGGTTTGCCATGAGCTCCCCATTAAGGATTCATGCTTAGATTTTGGGGATACTTTGAGATTCTTTAGAAAGCTCTGTAACCCCAGAGCTGGAGTATAAACACTAACATTTATTGAGTTTTTACTCTGTGCCAGGCACTATGCTGAGTGCTTCACTTGTGCTATCTCATTGCTAAAACTCCACATTACCTGTTTTTTTCTAAGTGAAGAAACTAAGGCTTGGAGAAGAAGAGTAACTTCCATCTTGTCGAGTAGCTAGTCAGTGTAAAGGTACTTTTTCAAAATTAGGAGAATGATCAGGGATTGCCAGATGACAAGCTCCAGGAAAGAGAGAACCCAGCGCAATGAGAATAGAGGGTCGGCTTGGCCCTTTTCTCCTCCTGATCAAAGGTCAAAAATGTCATATTGCACACATGGGCAGGGTGAAGTGTGTGGGCCTGAATAACAAGGTGTCACTGATACTAATACACCATGGCTTAGAAATTATGGCTGCAGAAAGAGAGCTTTCAATTCAAAATCTCAAAAATGAATCAATTTCAAATGACTGTGTGGTCTAAGAAATCTTTTCTTTCAGTCAACATTTATTCAGCTCCTACTCAGAGCCAAGCACACACTGCTGGTCCCTAGTCCCAAATGCATGTAAATTAGGAGTTAATTAAAAGCAAGAACTCCGAAGTCAGATCCTTGAGTTGGAAGCCCAACTGAATGATGTGGAGCCAGTTACTTCACTTCTCTTTGCCTCAGTTTACTATGAAACAAGGATAACAACAGTAGTTCACACATAGTATGATTATAAGATGATCTCATAGAGCCCTCAGCACAATATTTGGCCTATGGCAATCACTTAATAAAAATTAGTTACCATAAACATGGGAAGGAATCGATTACATCAGCAAATTCGTCATTACAAAACTGACAAATGTAATAAAGGAAAAGCACAGGGTGCAGCTGGAGCATTACAAGGGGACTTAATTGAGATTGGGGATCAGGTCAGACTCTTGAGGAAGTGGCATTTAAGCACAAATTGGACGGTGGGCGCAGGGAGAGTGAGTTGCAAAGGAATTTCCAAAGTTAAGAAGCAATGAATGTAGGATCCTGAGCTGCAAAAAATGTTTTCATATTTTAATATACGTATATAAGGATATCTTTAATTCCATTGCCTTCTCTGCCATTTTAAATGGTTCTTTCATTCTCACAGCTCAGCAGTTTCATAAAGCAGAGTCAAGACTCACCCCAGAAAATATTGCCACGTATAGGCTGGGCTCTGTGGCTGGCTTTGGGAAGGACATGGGGTGGGGAGAAGGTAGGTAGAAGATTAAAGTACAGCCTGTACTTAAAGGAATATGGGATTTTTAAAAATTAAAATATAATTGGCATATAGCATTAGTTTCTTGTGTACAACATAATGATTTGATATTTGTATGTATTGCAATATGGTCATTTGTCACCGCACATAGTCAGAATTTTTTTTCTCCGATGAGAACTTGTAAGATCTACTCTCTCAGCAACTTCCAAATATACAACAGTTGTATTAACTCTAGTCACCATGCTGTACATTACATCCCCACAACTTACTTGTTTTACAACTGGAAGTTTATACCTTTTGAATATGGGATGTTTAAATGGGTTCAGGTAAAGAATCCAAAGACCCCAGAAATCAAATGAACTTAGTGCTCTGGGTTTGTCTGGGCATTTGGAGGTGAGGGTGGGGGGTAAGAAATGGCATCCTGTAGGCCTTTGAGTCTCAGGATAGGGACCCCGTTGCAAGTGAATGAAGCTCAGAGAAGTGCATTTTGAGAAATTTGAACTTAGGCTTTACCTATCGCCAAAGTACAGACATTTTTCCACATTGGTCTGGTGCCTCTAGCTTCCTATATAAAAAGGGTCACTAAACCTTCTAATGTTTGACTATATGGCATGTTTTCACTTTGACAACCTAGCAGCTACCTCCAGAAATAGCCTTGTGTGAAGCTGGAAATATACTCTAATAAGTCACTTATGGTATTTACATACGATGCTACAGTAAAATAAGACAGAAAGTTATTACTTTAAAATGAAAAAGATATTTTCTTTATTCTGAGTTTCATGAGGATTTTTAAATTTCGCTTGGAAGCTCAGTATACTATTGGACTGATGACATCTAAACAATTGTCTGGCCATGTTTATCTTTGTTCATAAATAATAAATTAATACTAATCCATCTCTTTGGCCCTTCGCCTCCCACAAAGCAAAGCAATGAGAGCGGGTTTCCAAATCGTGCATGGTTGCAAAAGTCAGCCTATTTTTCTTCTCTGGAAATCATGCAAAAGCAACAATGAGAATGAAAATGAAAAAGCTTTTCTACTTGTAAATTTTGTTTTTAATTTTCCTTTCTAAAACCCTTGGATCAGAAAGAATAATCTAAATTGCAAATTGTTAAGGAAAAAAATAAGGAAAACATCTCGCTTCAGAGCCAAAGGGGGAGCCTATGGGATACATTTCAGAGTAAATTTCCAGTATGAATACTTGTATTGATATAAAATAATGAATAAAACAAATGAAATAAACATCTGACTCAAAATTTTTTCATCAAAGTAAACAATGAATTAAATAGAAGGCAAAAGGAAGGAATTTTTAAAAGTAAAAAGATATGAATGAGACATGAAAAATTTTTAAAGTAGAAAATTAACTAATTACAAAATCTGGTTCCTTGAAAAAAATTAAAGATAAATAACTAGCTAACTGAATTTAGAAAAAATAAGAAAACAAGAAAGAAAATATCATTATTCAAAACAGAAAATTATAAAAAGGAAACCACAGAAACAGGAAATTGAATACATCATAAGGGAATAATTTTCTCGTCTCTGTGCAAATGAATTTAAAAGTGTGAATGAAATGGACATTCTTCTAAAGACAATATAATTTGTAGAAACAACCTAGAAGAGATAGCTTAAATCTTGTAAATTCAAATCCATAGCTAATGTCATATTCCTTTTCACCAACTCACTACATATACATTAAGTGCTTACTATGTGCCCAGCACCATCCTCAGCGGTAAACAAAACATACAACATCCCTGACCTCATGGAGCTTATAATCTAGTGGGAGAAATAGACAGTAAGGATAAAATTAAACATAGTCTAGCAAATGATGAGAATTATTATGGAGAAAAATTAAGCAGATAAAGGGATGGGGACGGATGGTAGGGATGGAGTATTTAGTGGTCATGGAAGAATTCACTAAGAAGATAACATCTGAGCCAAGACAAGGAGGAGGTAAGGGAGTAAGCCTGGACATCTCAGAAAGAAAATTCAAGAAGAGAGGACAACTAGTAAAAGGTCATAGCGTGGGGATGTGCACATGCTTGAGAAACAGCAAAAAGACCATCTAAGCTAGAGCACGCTTGTTAGAAGAGTTGTAGGAGATAAATTTAGAGTTAATGGGGTCGGATGATATAGGGCCTCATAGGCAGCTGTAAAAAATTTGACTTTCATTCTGAGAGAGATGGGAAGACATTGGAGAGTTCTGAGCAAGGGTTCTGATCTGAATTTGAAAGGAACACTTCATCTGATGCAGAGGACACTGACAAAGACAGGGAGAGCAGAAAGGAGGCTGTGCCACAAACCAGGCAAAAGATGATAGTAGCGGGAACCCAAGTAGTTGCAGTTGAGGGGTGACAGCTGGTTGGATTCTGGTTATGCCATGAAAATCCTTCTAGAGTGGAAATGGTATACAGGCATATGCTAGCATATGGGCATACTGATTAACCATATCCAGTAAGGCTTTCAAGGTCAGTCAAAGATCTTGGTCCAGCACAACAAAGCAATATTTACAGTATCTTTTATCCAGAATAACATGAGTCAAGAGCAGAAAAAGTTATCTTAATGAAGCCCTAAGTCCTATGAATGGAGATTTTAAATAATGTATTAGTGTTCACAGCCCAAAAAACAGTCAGAATTAAACTCGATCACATTGCTCATTGTGCTCATTTGACAAACGAAGTTCCTTTTTTTTTTTAAGTTCAAGTCCATAAACTATTTTGAAATGTATGACAATTATTTCCAGAATGCAGAACTGCTTAAAGGTCATAGGTATTACTCAGCAGAGTTACTGAGGGTCCAGCAGATTAAAAAGAACAGTTTAAAAGAATAGTTTCCCAGATTTTGGTACTAGTGGTGTATGGTTTTCTGTAGGTCTGAGGGGGAGAAAGGTGGTGTTCAACTTATAATTCATTGCAGAACTTTCTAGAGTTATCCTGCTGCTTACTGAATTACAGAATAAGGGACAGAGCCCAGAGCAGAAGCCTAAGGAAGCCATCTGACTCCTTGAATAAACCACTGTGAAATAGTCCGGGACACAAGTTTTTAAACACTTTTCTGAAGGAGAATAAGGAACATGTGGCCTTTTGCTACCAAGACCTGGCTGAAGAAAATGATGTTGGCTCATGAGCACAGGCTCTGCCATCTTGCTCATTATTGCGTGGTGCCCAGCAGACAGCACATGCTCAGTAAATGTTTGCTTGAGTGAATGAACGATGAAAAAAATGAATGACCAAATCTTTGACATCATTCTATCCCTTTATGAAATGAATATTACAAGTGAAGAAAAATGCATAGTGATTTTATAACAGGCCTCAGGTCGAGGTCAGCCAGATCTGATTTCACCCCTCGCTTTGTCACTACATGTGCTATAGAGCTGGTCAGGTTTTCTTGGCCTCCCTCTGTCTCATTTTCTTTATCTGTGATATCAGGATAATGATACCAACCTCCTAGGATTGTCATGAGGATTAACTAAGATAATACATGAACATAAATTAACCCGGTGCCCCTATTATTAGATCTCACCATTAGTACCAAAATGGCATTAAAATTACCAAAAGAAGTTTTATAAAGATGACATCTTTAAAACTTTAAAATGTCTTTTTTTGTTATAAAATGTTTCAAATATATATACAATAATAGCGAGTACCATGAACCTCCATGTACTCAATATCCTGCTCATGGCCCACTTTCCCAGCTCCTTGGATTATTTTGAAGCAAATACAAGACATTATGTTATATCAGCTGTTAATACTTCAATATGTATCTCTAAAATAATAATAATAATTAATAATAATAATAACCAAAAGCCCATATTATACTTAAAAATAATTAATAATAATTCATTAGTTAGATGAATTATTGGCATGCTGGAAGCCACCAGGAGAAAAGAAGAGAATCAAGTCTGTCCAAAGCAGAGGCTTAGGAAAATTCTCTCCAGACCCAACACAGAGGAGACATCCACTTTCACTGTCAAGGTGGACTCTTCTTGCTGAAGTTTGGGGTGGACAGTGAGATACACGGGGGAGAAAGTAGGGAATGAGTTTGAAGTCAGTATTTCATGACTGAGGCAAAGTAGAGCAGAAGTCCCCATTATCTTTAATCTTTTTACTTTCCAAAGCCAATGTCATTTCATTTGAAAAAATTCTGTACAAATTCTTCTGCTTCCAAACTGGTGGGATTTTAGAATTTAATTTTATCTTTTCATCTACCTTGAAGCACTGTTGGCAGTGTTGGCTTTTAATTCAGATTATGGTATCACACAATTAGAGAGTTCATTGAATGGTTAGAGGACTGAGTTGGTTTTTGAAATTTAACATAGCACAAAAGCTCCCATGTCTTTGAGAGAATTCGGTTTTTAGTATATTCTAAGCTCTTCTCCCTTTCCCCACTAATTTCCTCTTATTTGTTCTACAAAGTCAGTAACCTAGTGGAAACCCTAATTTCATTCTCTGCTGTTCTACGTATTAAGCCTTGACTTAAAATATTTTTTCTTTTTCTTCTTAACTGGAATTTGGAGCAATTTGATTGCTTCGAAACAAGAGCTATCGGTATTGAAGATATTAAACATCAATAGTTAAAACCCAGATTATCATCTCCCCTTTAAAAACCAAGATTAATGCAAAGCCCAGAGTTCAGTGGGTAAGAACAGCAAGGAAGTGAAGGACGATGCTGAGAAAGCAGGAAGACGAGGAGCGACAAGATGGTGCAAAGAGAATCTAAGATATACTGCAAGTTTCTTCTTTGAAAACCTAAGTTAGTTTATAAGCAATGGAAACTTCACTTGGAAGAGATAAGGAGCCTGGATTCAGAAGTATGGTACAGCGTGGAGGTACCAGAAAACCTGGTGTTATTTTTACAAGCCCCTCCATTCTGTTCTGGCAGGATGTCATCTTGCCCTTTGAGAAGTAGGTTTTGAGAAGACAGGGACAGTGTCTGTCTTATTTGCTGCTGTGTATCCTTGTTGCTGAGAACAATGCCTAGTACATGACAGTGCAGCAAATGTTGAATGTGAATGAATGAATAAATGAATGAATGAGTACTGCTCAGCAGCCATCACTATTCCTTACTAACGAGGCTATTCTACCAAGAACCTGAGAGAGGCTACACAAGAAGCAAAAGAAGCCAGAATATATTTCCTCTTTTGACCTAAAGAGCCTCCTTTTTAAAAAAAAAAAAAATCTTTATGACTTTCTTGTATTTTAATGTACCATTTTAGTGCCTTAAAAAAATGTGGTAATTTTTTTTTTTTTTTTTTTGGTGAGAAAGATGCTATAATGAATCATGGGCAAAGAACAGATGACCTAATTTGATCAGATTTCCAAGAAGATATGCAAAAAATATAATGTAGCTCAAAATGATATCTCTACATTCATCCTTTTAAGGACTCATTTGGTTTCACACACTCCAAATCCTTATCAGATTGCTGGGAACTGAAGGTGGGAATGTAAAAGGAAGAGGCATTAGCAGAGTGAGGCTCAGGGCCCCCGTGACAGACGAGTGTGGCAGGGAGCAGTGTAGAGATCCAGAGGGTGTGGAGGGTATGAGGTGTACCAGGGAGGTTAGTCAGGAGTTTCCAAGAAGGGAAGAAAAGAAAAAATTAATCAGAGACCCCATCTGCTTTGAACCACTGCCAGGAGCCCTGATAATTACCACTGCTAAACATATATCACTCAGTACCACCCAATAAACCAAATTCTGGTCACTGGCAGGCTTTTTGGCTCCAAGGGCCAGATTACTTTAAGATCTCATGAGTTGCTCCATTCACTCACCTGTGAGCACCTTGCACAATTCCTGCCCTACCCTGCCCTCCAGTCCGCCAGCCCTCAGCGTTTTTGCCTTTTCGTAGCTAAGGATGCCCCAGTCCCAACAAAATCAAGCTTCCACATCGAAGTAACTTAGAGCAAATGGTTTTCAAAGCAATTCTACTTTCATAATCTCCCTAAAATAATAAAATGTATTAGCAAATGAAATCATATTTCCTTCAAGGAACTGTTGTAAAACTCAAGAGGATGCTCAGCGTGAGGATTCTAGCTTCCCTTTCTGTCCAGAGAAGCGTTCTCGTTGAGGGGAACATTGGTTGCCTGACCAGTCACACTTGCAACCATGACGCCTAAACATTGCTTTCTAGGCTTCCTCGTCAGTTTCTTCCTGACTGGTGTAGCAGGTAAGTGCTTCATTTCTTTTTAATTGCTTATATTTTTGTCATCTGAGTGTGCTCAAGGGACTGTTAGAAATGGCACTGGCACTTTTCTGGGCTTTGTAAAAATTTCAGCTTTCTTCTGTCATGAAATGGTCAGAACAGATATGCAGTCAGTTTCTATCTGCAGTGTGAATAACTCCACGTGGACACACTGAGCAGCTACTAGAGAGGAGGCGCTCTAGTGGATGCAAAAAACTTTATATAGGAGAAGTGTATATCCATCTCTCTGTCTCCTTAGCACTTCTTTTGTCTGCAGGAGGCTGATAGCGCAGTGGGTACAAGCAGTCTCCTAAGCCAGACCAAGTCTGGATCTCAGTTCTCCCATTTACTTTTTAGGAAAACTTGGGTAATTGACTTAATTGTACCTCAATTTCCTCATCTATAGAATGGGAATTGGACATATTGTGAGGATTAAATGAATTAACATATGCCGAGTGGTTCGAGCGATGCCTGGCACAGAACTGAGACTGTAAAAAGCATGTGAGAAATTTCTCTGGGTATTCATAGACAGCTCTTCAAGAGCAGAGAGCATCTTATCACTCCAGCATACCTTTGAGCAAGGTTATTAGAACCCCCAGTTAACAGATGGGTATCTCTCAGTGTAAGTGGCTCAAGTAACTTTCCCAAGACTGTATTGTTGCCCAGTGACTGATAACATAAAAACAATTCAAGTCTCCATCTCCTAGAAATGTGTGGATTTGTAAAGACTATGCTTTAGGTCCTTGGTAATACCAAGGACTCAATTAGCAAAATATGGCAGGAATTCACATGCTACCAAAATGATCCTGGCTCTGTACCTTACCAGGCCTATAAACTTAGGCAAGACATGCAACTTATTTAAGTCTCAGCTTCTCTATTGTAAACTATAATAATAAAAATACCTGCCTTATTGGGTGGTCGCAGGAATGAAATAAGATGTAAAGTGTCGAGCACTGTGTCTGACAGATGTTTAATGTTCAGTGAATGCCTGTGGGAGAAGGAGAAAAGGAAGGATATCTCCAGCCTCCAGTTGTTCTGTTTCCTCCATTAGTTCCACTCTTCCAAGGCTTCGCTCTTAGTTTTCTGCGGTAGATGACAGTCAGGGTCTGGAGTAAGAGTGCCCAGCTACAAAATCAGCTTCATCATTTGCTGCTGTGCAAGTTCCTTCAGCTCTCTAGGGCTTAATTTTTTCGTCTGTAAGAGAAAGAACCCAATAATACCCTTTTCATAGAAGAGCTGGACACAGTAAATGAATGAACACAGGTAAAAGTCCCTCAGTGTCTGGGTCAGAGTGATTTGCTATTATCTGTGATGGCAGTAGCAGTGGTGGTATTATAAAAACAAGAGAAGAAATTCATAGGCAGATGAGATAAGGGTCATTGAGCCATCTCTCTTCACAGCAGCAAGTCAGCTCCAGGCAGGGAATTGCCTAGGAAATTGTGCTCGTTATCTCCTCAAAACCTCTGGAATTTTTATGTCCCAAAATTTTATGATTGATTAGGTAGTGATTTCGGTGAGCAAAATCAACAGTGGCAATAGACTTTTACAAGTCCATGCTACCATTTGATGCACTGAAGGAGGTCTAGAAAATAAAAACAAAAAACAAAAAACAAACAACAATATTAACACTACTTGGCAAAAATAAACACCTAAGGAAACAGCCCCATGCATTAAAAAATAACAAATCTTGAATATTCAGAGCTGACATCAAGAGTCAAAGTTTATTAATACTTGCAACGCACCTAAACGAAGAGTAACTCAAATGGCAAGTTAGAGTCCCAGCTTGCATAGCCTCTTCAGCAAAGAGCAATACATTTGTAGAGACATGACAGGACAAATAAAAGCAATTTTATTCTTCCAAGGGTGGCAAACTCTGGAAAAGTAAGTATGAGAAGAAATTAATAGAGCAAGTTTTGTTTGCAGATTTTTCTGGTGCCATCTCTGGGCTGATAAGACTCTGTTTTCAATAAAAGCGAAATTTATATCCTGCCTTTAGCCAGAAAAGGGAAGGGAGAGAGACAGAGCTTTTTCTGCATTTGCCGCTTAATTGTCTTCAACTCAAAATAATTTTTATGTCAAAGAGGCATATTTTGGAGTGATATATTCTTGTTTTCTTCAGACTCTAGAATAAAATTTTGTCAAAAGTCTCTTGCCTCCATGGGACTAAGCGCAGGTGACATTGGGCCACCTGTGTTACATGACCTGAGGAAAAAAGCAGAAGTCATGCCAGTGCAATATCATCCCTTTTCCTGCCGAGATTGCTATTGAGACCCTTCTCAGGAACAGCAGGCCCAATGCCAAGGTCTTGGGCAGTCTCCCTCGATAGCATGGACCGGTTTATCTGAGCAATTATGTTTGAGTACTGGGAGCCAGGATGCAGGCAGGTAAGTGCAGCCATTCAGGAGTGGAACAGCAAAGGTTGACCTACCTGGAATAAAGCCAGATCAGCTGGGAGAGGTGGAGGACACTGAGGCAGGACCCAGAGATTACTCAAGAAGCTGAGAAAGGAGGAATCGAATGTTGGGTGGAGGTCCTGGAGCCAAAATTGATCCCAGGTAAAATTTTGCCTCAGAGTAGCAGAAACACACAGCTCCCAGGAAGGTGAGTCAGTGGCCTTGGTATGGGTCTTTCATCTCAGTCATTACTTTCCATCATCATCAGGGAGGGAAATGAGGACACTATTTTTTCAGTGCTATTTCTTTCTTCTACAGTTTAGGAATGAGATGGAAGGAGATCTCTTACGTGTTTATAATCTGGAACACAATTGTTCTGAAACTTTAGCATGCATAAAAATCATTACACTGAAGATGCAAAATGTTCGTTTCTGGGCTCCGCCTCTACCATCTGTGTTTATAGCAATCATTTTAGGGAATTCTGGTGAAGGCGTTACATCGAAACCTATTGCTAATAACAATGGTGCACGTATCAATGTTTGGTGTTTTTCCTTTTCTTATTATTTTAGAAACTCAGCCTGCCCATGAGTCTCTGAAGCCTCAGACAGCATATTTTCAATCACGAAATTTTTATAACATTTTGCACTGGCAGCCTGGGAGGGCTTGTGCCAACAACAGCAGCGTCTACTTTGTGCAGTATAAAGTGTAAGTAATTTAAGCTTCCTCTCGCCGGTAGGGACAGGAGTGTCTTATCTCTCCCAAAGGCTGTATGATGACACAAAACGCATGATGATGTGCAGTCTGTTGGGGACATATTGTCATCCCATGGAGACCCAGCACCAAGTCCTTAAAGGTTCAGCTTTTGGAATCACAACAAAGCCTGGCACATGGTGGGCTCTTAACACATATTTGCCAAGTGAATATTGGAAGCAAATTGCTTAGCACGTAATAGGTACTCAATTAAGTTGACACTATGGATACTTGAACAAGTTGTGGGACACCTGAATGCCCACAGGCAGTCATTTTAGAAGTCATTTTTTAAGAGTAGGTTTACTATTTGAAAAATTCCTTTCAAAAATTAATGTCTCCTGTAAGTATGAACACAAATTGGAACGTGCTGCTGCGTGTTCCTCTCATGTCATCATCCAGCTAGCTCTGGTGGATTGTAGCCAAAACTCACATACAATCAACACCTTTCCTGGACTGAGGCCTGGAAACAGAAACTCCTGATTTGCAAATGGCAGGTTTTCCCACTTACACATTTCCTGGGGGTTTTTTGAGGCTCTTCCTATTCTCACATAGTTTGAAATGCTGGCTGAGCATAAGACAAGAGATATTACAGTTTACCTTTCATCGTTAGAAATTCAGAAAACCGGTTGCAGCCACGGACCAAAATAGCCATTTTTATTCCATAAATTCATCAATGTCACTCCAGCATGGGGCAGGTCCAAGGTCAGATTTTTTCATGAATTAACCTCTCACTAACTTCAGAAGGCATATTTCTAGAAGTTTATTGGTCTTTAACTGATGTTGATTTTCTCAACATACTTTGTATAGCAATTGCAAAATTTACAAATCTTTAAAATAAAGATTTCTCCATTCCAAAAATATATTTGTGCATAGTTGCAGATGCTTCCAGCACATAGGAAGTAGGATTGGGGCTCTCTTTGTCCCCCACCCCACCCCATTAGGCAATGTAGGTAGGTCTAAAGTGGTCCAATTTGTGGTCCAACATAAAAAGTGGATACAAGTTGCTTTACCGTGATACTAACGAAGATTAAACTTTAGGGCAACATGGAAGTATTTTATATTTGTAATTCTTTTTCTTAAAGAGGGTTCCCAAATGTATATAAAATTCAGAATACCTGGATCTATTCCTAGCTATGTGGTATTTTCAATAGCACAATGCAAATTTATATTTTTGAAATCTTTCATTTTCGTTCTATCCAGTTCACATGAGTCTAAAGTTAATGTCAGTTCCATTTGGGATAGGACAAAATATGAGGTGCCATATTATAGCTAAATTCAGCCAGCAAAGACAATGTCTCATCAATAAATAACAATTTAAAAAAGAAACATTAAGTTGTGCTTCACATATGTTGTTTATTCTACTTTAATGGTATCTTCTGGTTTAATGAAACTGCTGTCATATAGTTTACAAAGTACAGACACCAATAATAGTCCTCATTACGTGGCTAGAAAGTCATAGATTTCAAGTCCTTCATCAAATATTTTGGAAGCCTTTCTCCCCAGCCTCTAATTCCTGCTCTGTCCCCATCATCATCTTACTGCATTTTCTCTGATCTGCGACTGGTAAGAAAAGGAGCATTAATCTTTCATTGTGCTGTTACACCATCCCATAGTCTTAAGATGAATCAACCTATCAGCCTCTGTCTTACTACCTTTTGTTTTTTTATGGGTTTCTCTCCCTCTCTTCCAGCTCCTTATTATAGCACTCCTTATATTGGCCTCTCTACAACCCCCGCTTAATTTTCAATAAAGAAATTAACCATACGTGTTGGGTAAGCATCACTTGAGATGAAAAGTGGTAGCCACTTCTCAGAATCAGCCACATTACTCAATGGCAAACTGATGAGAAGTGAAGAAAACCACAAAGAGTTGAAACCTCAGAAGCATTAAGGATGTAGGGAACTAGTACTCAAAAATGGAAGTTGGTCCATACACCAGAAGAAAAATTTCACCAAGTATTTAAAAAACCCCAAACTCCTATGCTAGTGATACAGAAGGTATCAGGCTTGAGTTTATCATTCAGCAAGACAGCATTTTGGATAACAGGAAGCAGTCTTTTTAAAGATACTTAAGAGTAGCCATAAGCTTTCACAGTGGTACTAATATTGGAGGACAATATTCAACCAGTCTAAAACATTAATAGACTGAAAAAACTGCAGACTCCTTCAATGGTAGAAAGAAACTCAGGTATTTGTCTATTCCCTTCTATAGGTATGGACAGAAACAATGGATAAATAAAGAGGACTGTTGGGGTATTCAAGAATTCTTTTGCGACCTTACCAATGAAACCTCAGAAGCACAGGAGGCTTATTACGGAAGGGTGAGGACAGCTTCAGCTGGTATCCACTCAGGCTGGACCATGACGCAGCGTTTCTCTCCCTGGTGGGAAAGTGAGTTCCATGGAGTTTCTTTGCATTTGCTTTTCTTGGTTTTGAATAGCCCTCATAGAGTGTGGCTAATTATCAAGCCCTGTGCTTTGCTGAAGTCTACACCATCATCTCACTTAAACTAATTCTCAGAACAACCCTAGAAGATGGTTTTTACTATCCTTATTTTACAGCCCAGGAAATCAAGGCACAGAGGCTTCAGCAGCTGCCCAGGTCTCACACCCTTAGACAATCCTAGTAAATTGGTTTTAGATTTCGTATTTTGTCAGCCAAGCAACTTAAGGGCAGTGGAGTCAGCAGCTGCCCAGGTCTCACACCCTTAACCCTCATTGAGTTTCAAATTCTGCTGCATCTGACTGTAGAGCTGAAACTCTATCCTGCTGCTGAATTGTTACATTAAAGGGGAAAATTTTAAAAAAATTAGTTTTAGATAGCAAGAAAGGAGTCGTACTGCCATAGACCCCTCTTAAGCATAGGGATTAAGCTCTTGGAAATACTCATTAGAAAAATTTTCTGTTGAGGAAATTAATACTTTTTATTACCTCCCCTGGGGGAGACCAAAAGTTTATTCTCTATCAATTTCTTCATGATGTTTATTCTTTTTCTAATTTAGTCATAATCCAAGAATAATAATATTATAATCTAAGATGTAAACTATAAAATAAACCATTACCAACAGACTTTAAATAAAATAGTAGACAAAAGACAAAGAGAAAAAAGGGTGTTTAATGTCTATGTACAAAGATAAGTGTGACAAAACAAGAAAGAAAATATGGATATTTCTTACAATCCTAATAATTGCAACAGTCAAGAAGCTGTAGTTAATATTTATAACTTCTTCTATCATTGTTAACTCTACATTCACTTGTTTTTCAGCCAGCACCTCAGCTCTTCATTCTTGAGGAGTTTGAGTCCTTTTGATCTTCCCCATATAAACTTGACGTAATCTTATATTAATTTTTATTATCAAATGTAGAGTTCTAAGAAGCACCTCAGAGGAAACCAAGCATATGTCCACCTGGCCTTATTGTATATATAACAATTTTATGTCCCCTTGATAATCAGAATCAATCATCCTAGACAATACAAGGACTTCATTTTCTCCTCATTGGTTAAATGGCTCCAAGAGCTTCAAACAGGAGGCAGCCTCAACTTCCAATTCTTTGAAACCGTTGTTGTTATAAGCCAGTAGAATTAAGGATCACATGTATGGGAAACAAACCATTTCATTAGTTGTTCACTATGTGTAACAGTGAGAATTCCCCCACCTACTCCTACTTTTTGTGTCCTAGATCAATGAATTCTGTCCGTCAAAGAAATAGAACTGTGCATTGGTCACAAGATTAGAGCATATATTAATACCTGACAAGGTGTCGTCTCTCAAAATGAGCTTGTAATCATCCACTTCACCTTCCTATAAAGCCCGGGGTTTCTGAGTGATGGGATATATGGTAAGGCTTCACTTCTTCCACATTAACAGTTCTTCTGTCATAAGCAATGTATCATGGGGTATTATACTCCTGAATAAGGCATCTACTATATCCATGTTAGAGGGTAGTCAGGAGGATCGCTGATTAAATCATAAAGCAGAGAAGACAGATCTATAATTGAAAAGTATCCATTCCAGCATCACTTATCCTCTCCCTGTTGAAAGGGATCAAAAAATTTACTACATAAAATGAACTATACTAGAAGTTCAGCATTGGTTCTTCTTACTGGGATTTTGGACACACTCAGCAGTGTCAGTCCAGCCTTAATATGAGGAAGTTCATATAGTTGAGTCTACATATAGCCTCCATCCCTTTCGCCCAACCATTTTGTTCATAACTAATCAAGCGAGTATGGGACACTGGGGAAATAAGTTTTCACTGTCTCCACCTAGATTTTTTAAACAGCTTTACTGAGATATAATTCACACCCCTTATAGTTACCCATGTAATGTGTACGACTCAATGTTTTTTAGTATATTCACACATTTGCATAGCCATTACCCACCATCAATTTTCGAACATTTTCATCACCTCAGAAAGAAACTCCATACCGTATGGCTATCACTCTCCTATTCTGTCACTTCTCCAGCCCTTCAGTCCTAGGCAACCACTAATCTACCTTCCGTATCTATAAAATTCCCTGTTCTTGATATTTTACATAAATGAAATCGTATAATATGTGGTCTTTTGTGACTGGCCTCTTTCACTTAGCATGGTGTTTTCAAGGTTCATCCATGTTGTAGCACGTATGAGTACTTCCTTTCTTTTTGTGGCTGAATAATATTCCATTATATAAATATATCACATTTTATCCATTTCTCAGTTGATAGACATTTGAGTTGTTTTTACCTTTTGTCTACTATGAATAGTGCTCCTATAAACATTTGTGTACAAGTTTTTGTGTAGACATATGTTTTTATTTCTCTTGGGTATATACCTCAGGAGTGGAATTGCTGGGTCACATGGTAACTCTATGTTTAATCAGCTGATGAACTGCCAGACTGTTTTCCAAAGCAGCTGCACCCATCAGCAGTGTGTGGGGGTTCCCATCAGCAGTGTGTGGGGGTTCTCATTCTCCACATCCTTGGCAGTACTTACCTGACTTTTTAATTATACCTGTCATTTTGGGTTGATTTATGTATATGGTATGAGGTAAGTGTCCAATTCTTTGGTATTTGGTTATCTAGTTGTCCCAGCATCTTTTGTTGACAAGATTATTCTTTCCCCATTGAAAGATCTTGGAACCCTTGTTGAAAATCTGGTGGCCATAGACCTTTGGGTTTATTTCTGGACTCTCAATTGGATTCCATTTATAGATATATCTATTCTTGTGTCACTATCACACCATCATGTAATATTGCTTTGTAGTAAGTTTTGAAATTGGGAAGTGTGAGTCTTCCCACTTTGTTCTTTTTCAAGATTGTTTGGTTATTCTGAATCTCTTGTAATTCCATAGATTTTTGAGAACTCCCTTTTTATAGGCACTTTTTTGTTTGTGTTAACATGGATGCAGAAGTATTTGCTTAGGAGACCATACATATATATCTTCTCCAGACCTCCTTCGATAACCTGAGTAGTATAAAATGCTACAGCAGTCCACTTCTGGCTGGTGCCATCATGTCATGTAGAATCTTCCAGGAACAGGCTCCTTTTTATCCTCCGTTAAGTTAGCTGGTCATAGGAACTCCTCAAGAAGCTGTAAATATAGAGGAGGAAGAAACGATAAGATAGTAGGTGTAGATGCACTGGGAGCCACCTACTTTTGCAAATTAATTTGATGTCAAGACCAGCTAGAGGCTGGACTCATATAATCCTTTTTTACTTAATGTTGACAAGTTTCTGTGCATTTTATGACTTGCTGTAACAGAACTTGATGTATCAACCAGTTCATGATAAGAAGCTCAGGCCACATCATTCCTTGATATCCAAAGGTCAGGTGTTCATTTTCTATCAGGGCCCAGTTACAAGGAAGTCTGGAGCCTTTCTTTTCTTTTTCTTTTTCTTTTTTTTTTTAAAGAAAATTAGTCATTTGCTAAATAGGATATAACTTTTTTCCAAAAATTCAGGGGCCTGGAATTGTCATAGTTTCTATATAGCATCCTGATCTGACACAGTTGTTTTGAAAATTGTTGGATCTTCTTAATCATAAAGGACAAGTGGCAGGGCTGCCTGTTTGCAACATGGACTAGCTGAGAAGTCTGCCTCTTAGTCTGGGTCCCTCTCAAAGCTCAAAATCTTATGTGATACTTTGCAAATGGGTAGCACTACTAAATGTGATATGTGTTCCTTCCAAAATTCAGAGGCCTAACAAGCCCAGTGAATGTTCCTTAGTAATAGCGGATGCAAAATAAAGCGACTTATCTTTAACTTGAGAGGAAACATCTCAACTAACCCCAGAGAAAATTTAACACCAACATTCTGCTTCCATGTATCTTACTAAAGCATCTATAGTGACTAGTACTTTAGATACACCAAATTCAATGCGTATTGTGTTGTCGATTTAGTGGTCCTGTGAAAGGGTCAAAGATTCTGTAGGCAATATATGACAGAGAGTCAGGATGTCAATGGAAACCAAGTGAAATAAAACTGTTCTGATGCTTTCTAATTATTGGACAATGTTATTCTCTAAATTATATCTAAGGCTGTGTTGATTGGACTCTAGAACACAGACACTATAATGAATAGTATTTATACCATGGTCACCACCTGAGTTGTTTAGTTACTCATTTTATTATTCAAGACCCATCTTTTCCGGGGGGAGGGTATAAATCAAATAAATGAGTTAAATGGGGAAGTGATATATCTTACTACTTCTGCATCATTCAAGGAGATTCGATACACTAATCTCTGTAGTTTCCCCCAGGGATACAGTAGTACTCTTGATTTTCTATTTTGTCCGAAGAAGAAATTCCAGTGGCTTCAACTTGGCCTTTCATCCCATAATAACTTTCACGCCACAGCTCAGAGAACCAAAATGGAAATGGATTCTGACAGTTGTGTATATATCATTGAATTTGCTTTTATTACCTAACACTTATAAGAACCCACAACACATTCTGAGTCCCCACAGATTATCATCAACTCAGAATCAGGATTCATTATTGGCCAAAGGGTCTGTATTTACCTTTCTCCAGCTTGTAATTACCCTATGGGGAAAGATAAAAAAAAATTTTTTCTTAAAACTTATAGCATTACTTCACTTGCCTTCAAAATCTCACCCTAATGATCTAACTGATGCAATGTCCAATTAGATCCAAACAAATTGGATCATGTCCAAAATGCTAGATGCAATGGAATTGAGAAAAAAATCTTTTTTAATTTTCTAACTCTTCAACAAGCAGGAGGGTGGAATGAGAATTGGGCAAACCAATCCATGGTATCCAGCCCATTGTTTCTTGGAATAAGTTGAAATTCAAGCTCAATCCACTTCACCAACAATTCTCTAGGTGAGAAAAAGGAGATTGAATAACTAAGCTGGTACACAACAATGAGGAGAATTTTCAAAGTAATATA